CCTCCCTCCCTCTCACCTCGACAATGGCCTTCCACCCTGCACAGCCGTACGCCCTCCAGCAGCACCTCCGAGACGGCAGTATGGGAATGGGCATGGGCAGGCAGCCGGGCTCGGCCGCGACGGACGCCTACGACGACTTTCTCGACCAGTATCTGACCTTTGAGGACACAGACGCTATGGGTGGTGGTGCCGCTGGGGCTGGCCCAGGCGCTGGCAATGGTGCAGGCGCCGCTTCCGCTGTGGTGGTGCATGCCCAGTCCTCGTCTTCGCCCTTCCTTCCTAGATCAGCGATGGGTGCACCACACTCGGAACCTTCTCCGCCGCGAGATACCGACGAACTGATACTACAATTCCCCCGACCCCCGCAGCAGTCGCCTCAGCACCAGACCGCGGATGACCAACAGCAGCAGCAGGAAGACCGTGACCAGGACCATGAGAACGATCACGAGCACGAGCACCACCACCACCAGCAGCAGCAGCAACAACCACAGCAAGCCTGGGCCTCATTTCCCCCGACTCATGCATCTCCGCCGCTGCGATCCAGTCGGGGACGCCGACAAACATTCGCCGAACATTGCAGCGCGCGAGCCACAATCTCCGATTCGGACCTTCTAAGTCTAGAAGGCATACATCTCAAATCCCCACGCTACCCGCCGTCACCACCACAGAACCCGCGTCCGTCCACTGCTAACACAGTCATCGGCACATCAAAGACACTTAATAGCAAAGCCAGCAAAGGCTCCCTCAGCGGCTCCGGACCCTCTCTCCGTAGAAAAAAGGCCTTCTCCCGCTCCTCATCGAATTTCCACGCCAAAGACCTCCCCGCCACCCCAAACACAGTCACAACCATCGACCCGCACATCCGCACCCCCAGCCGCTCCGCGAGCCGCGGCGCCATCCGGAAATCCGTATCCTCCATCAACATCTCCCCGGCGAAGATGCAGGCCCAGTCCGTCGCGGCGCTAGACGAATGGACGCAGCGCATGGCTGTCGCTGAAGCAGCAGCCTTCGAATTCGGCTTTGGACAGGGTTCTGGGATCCCAATGACGCCCCCGCCGAGCGCGAGGGTGAGCGACACGAGCAGTGCGAGTGAGCGCGAGATGGGCGGCGGTGGCGGCGGGTCGAGGAGTGCGTTGGCAATGAGCCACTCAAGGTCGCTGTCGCAGACGCAGCTTGCGGCGATGGGGGCGGCGATCGATCAGGGGAATTTACCGTGGACGAGGCCACCGCAACAGCAGCAGTTTACGGTTGTAAGGAATGGGAAAAAGTTGCATGCCCCTGCTGAGGTGGGGGAGATGAAGTTTGTGGATGCGTTTTCGTTGCCGTATGGGGTTGGGTGGGGCGGTGGGGATTTTGGCGGGGTGTTGCAGGGAACGGAGCAGCAGGAGGAGGAGGTGCACCAGCAGCAACAGC